CAGGTAACACTCTTCACACTCATCCTGCACGTAAAGGCACAGGAATAAATAATTAACATCTCACGGATACAGCCACTGTCAATGACGCGAGTTTCAAGGGATACGCAAATATACACCGACGGCTCTAAGCAGGAAGATGGAGTAGGCAGCGCCTTTGCACACTATGACAAAGGAAGAATCATCCATGTATGGAAAGGACGCCTTGACTTAAACAACAGTGTGTTCCAGGCGGAGGTGCAAGCAATTATAACCGCGGTAGATTAGATTACATTTTCAATAATAATATAGAACGGGCGAAAATTTTCACTGACAGTATGTCAACGCTTCTAGCACTAGATAATCACAACCACACCTCGCCCTTGATCATCAAATTACAACAACTTTTACAGCGCAACCCGCAGAAACATCTCTCCTTAACATGGATCAAGGCACATGCAGAAAATGAGGGGAATGAAGCAGCTGATAGCCTGGCCAAGCAAGCAGCCACTGATCCAGAAGCTGAAAAAATCACAATCCCAGCCCCTCCTTCCTACCTCAAAGGGCTATTACGGGGTCAAGGCCTAAATCTTTGGCAGGAAGACTGGACGCACTGCACAACTGGAAGACGTACATACAGCTACCTCCCGAAAGTCAGCACTGAACGCAACATTGCAATAGCTCCTCTTACGGCTTATATTACGGGACACGGCCCATTCCCGACCTACTTCAATAGACATGGCATAACAACCACGGACATATGCGCCTGCGGAGCGGAAGGCTCCCCAGACCACTATGTTTTTGAATGCCATCTGACAGCAGGAAATCACCTCCCTCTTCCTATCAACAATAGTGAAGCTTATCACCGCTTCCTTATAAAGCACAAACCGGCAGTAAATACAATTTGCAAAGTTGTTAACAAGCTCAAGAGAATGGGCCAAGATTTGTGCTCTCCTCATTAACCAAAACTCTCAAGACATGATACACTAACTAAGTCAGCATGCAGTTCCACATTCTCAGACACATAAGTCTACTCCTAAAATTTACATAAGTCCCTATTACAGACACCTTTCAAATAATGTACAATCAAATGTATTTAACATTTCCTCTTCTGTATATGCATAATACTAATTTTTTATTTTTATTTTTTATTTATTTTATTTTTATTTTTATTTTTTTTTCCTATTTGAGCCTATGAGCCTGTATTTTGATCCTATTATTTTGTAACTGTATTTTTGTATCTGTATATTTAATTTGTATTTTTATTAGAATTTTATTGTGAATGTGCAAAATTACCATAGCAAATTGCAACAACAAATGTCAAAACGGTAAAACGAATGCAATCTGCCCTTGTATGGCTATGTAAATGCTCTTGTTAACATCCTAAAAAGCTCCCGAGGTGGCCTCTTGAGGCCCCAGGGAGTTGTTCCTGGTTAGTGGAGGGCACGGGACACATGCCTGTTTACCTCTGTTAGACATCAGGCGTCCCTGTCCTCCGTTACCAACCAACCAACCCAGCTACCACCCTCTTGGATACAGGAGCTCAGTGTAGCTTCGTGATAGAAGACTTTAAAAAAAAATATTTTTGTAGATATAAGATCTACAGTATGAATGATACGACGGTGATAGCCACCCAGAGGGAAAGATGTTGTATAGGCAAAGTGTCATTATATATTTGGAATAGGACAAGCACATAAAAATTATGCTTCTTATTGTAAGACATCTTCAAGCATGCATCATTTTGGGGATAGATTTTTTCTTTTAACATCTGAAGCACAACTGGATTTTCTTCAGTCATCTCTTACGTTATCCATGAAGCCAGTCCCAGAAGTGAAGGCGAAGCCCCGCACAATAAATCTTTAACACCTGCCAGCCGAAGAACAAGGAAAGATGTGCCAACTGGTAAGTGAATTTTCTACCTTGTTTAGTGATATTCCCGGTATTACACAAGTGACTCACCATGAAATAGACACTGGAGGTTCACAACCAGTTATGCATAAGTCATATCGGTATGATAAATCTAAACAGAAAATTATCGAATGGCACATTAAAGATATGTCAGATAAAAAGATAATCATGGCAATTTCCAGTAGTTATGCCAGTCCAGTGGTTCTTTATAAAAAGTACAACAAATACCCAACTACGCACCCGAAAAGGTGGCGTTTTGCAATAGACTATCACAAACTAAATAATGTTACAAAATATCCGGTGTACCCATTACCCATTACTGAAGAAATCTTGAGAAATATAACTTCCACAAGATATATGACTACATTAGATTTAACATCTGTGTATTTTTAAATAGGCGTAAAGCCTGAAGATGTACCCAAACCAGCTTTCATAATTAAGTCTGGCACTTATGCATTTTTGCGTATGCTCTTTGGCCTATCCAGGGCATCAGCAACATTTCAACGTTGTATGGACATTGTTTTAAGACTTGTCCTAGGGAAGAGCACCTTTATATATTTAGATGACATTATTATCACCAGTGATAATTTGGATCAACATATAAAAGATTTAAGAAAGGTGTTTTTGTTATTAAATGAGGCCAGTCTAAAAGTTAATGTTGATAAATGCAAATTTGCAGCTACAGAATTACGTTTTTTGGGGTATAAAATTTTTCAGAAAGGAATTGAAACAGATAAATCAAAAATAATTGTCATTCAAAACTACCTGCCACCAAATACTTCAAAAAGATTATCTTCTTATCTAGGCATGTGTTCATACTACAGGTCCTTTATAAATGACTTTGCCACTATTGCTGAACCGCTATTAAAATTAAAATGAAAGGAAGCAAGATTCCTCTCGACGGCTAAAGCTAACACTGCTTTTGAAAAATTAAAACAAGCATTAACACAAGCCCGTTATGAAATTTCTCGAAAATGATGAAAATTTAGAGATTGCGGCTGATGCGTTGGATTACGCTTAGGGGCGGTGCTTTCCCAAAAATTACAGCCCATGGCATATTTTAGCCGTACTTTAATTGATAATTAAAGGAACTATTCCACCACTGAAAGAGAGATACTTGTAGTTCTGTTAGCAGTATGGAAGTTCCGAGTCTATTTTGGGAGTTCTCCAGTAACCAGTATTCCGATCATGCAGTGGTCACTATATTATATTCGGGGAAGAACTTCTTCCCAAGGCTATTAAGATGGGCACTTAAACTACAAGAATATAACTTAATAATTAAACACACGCCGGGAAAAGAAAATGTTGCAGCAGTTGCCTTGTCAAGAATTAAAACAGATGAAAATGGGAACCCAGTTAAAGTGGCAATGCTCACATCACAAATAATAGACTCTCGTGAAATCGTAATAGCCGAACAGAGCAAAGATCCTGAATTTAAAATTATATATGATTATTTAAGAGATCCCAAAAACTTTAGTCACCAAGATATTGTGGCGATAACACATAGGGCAGCTCACAACGAACCGATAGATGGATTGTTATTTTATACAAAAACTTCGAATAATAACCATGAATTTCGACCTGTCATCCCAGCTAGTCTTAGATTAAATATACTGCATGATTCACCCCTAGCAGCTCATGGTGGCATTCAGAAAACCATCCAACGCGTATGCAAAGCAGTTTATTTTCCTGAACTGCAAAAGTTAACAAGGCATATGCCCTGGTCCTGCCCGACATGCCAGGTAGATAATTATGTTAATTTCCGCCCGGCCAGGTTTCTAAATAGTATTAAATTAGAATTTTAGAATGAAATAATAGGCGTCAATTTATTGGGCCCTTTCCCCAAAAGTCAGTTAAATAAAAGTCAGTATCCTTTCGTTATGGTTGACCATTTTAGTAAGTGGACGGAAACTGTTACCCTAAAACGAGCCTCTGCAAAATTAATTACTGATTCTATTTTAAATAAATATATTTTAAAGTAAGGAGCATCCTAATTTTGTGTTACCCTAACTTCCAATCTCACTTTATCTCCAAAAGTGTATGAATAACCCACAGGGTTGAAAAGATGTTCCTTCAGGAAACTCAGAAGCACTTTATTTGTGAAATATACTCACGTATGCAAGTCTAGTTACTGTAGCTTCCAAGAAACATGTTACGCTTATATATCCTAGGGCTGCTTTTAACAATGGCCCATACTTTCCACCACAAGAAATAAAACAGATAGTTCCCATATAACACACCACTTTCACAATATGACTGTGCTCAAGCATGGTTTGATACCTAGGAAAACCCCTAACAATACAACATTCCTACAAAATTGTTTTTGTTCTAATATGGTTGAACCGAGGAAATTGCCATGTCTTACTACCTTTGGTAAAACTCCCGATACCTTGACATTCTGGTATGTTAAAATACAACATAATTAAAAGAAACCATCATGAGGACAAAATTAAAAATATCAGAAAACAAAAGAAGAGATATTTCATTGTGCTCCCCTTAGTTGAACAACTGGAGTTATAAAACCTTCTTACTGAAAAAAAGGTGCAAATTTTAACACAAAACTTCACAAATGCTTACCTTCATACAGTGAAATTTATACAGACCCTTCAATTTAAAGTAAACGACTGAAAGTGGCAATTTTTTTTTTTTTTAAATGTAGAGCACAGAATTTAAGACATGCTGAAAAGAGTACACAAGATTAACATAATAACTCTATTTAATGAACAACAGTAGCAATAATGAAAACATTACATAGCATTAAAACCTAATAATTTTAATCAGTTATGTTTTAATACGCATTCCTTTTAGTTACAAATTCAAATTGTATAAATCTTCAATTTGTCGAGTGCAGCTTTATATTCTGTACTATTTCTTTAGAAGTTCATACAAGAATTTACGCAATATTTTTTAGGAACACCTGAATTACATGCAAGTTACTTGTATTTTGTGAATTCCTTTTATTCCCACAATAAAGCAAAACAACCCATTAAATGAACACAAAGAGGGAAAAAAAATTACTTGCTGGCAAATAAACATAACGATACATTAATATACACACAAAAACTTTTCAAAGACCAAATTTAATGTTACTCTGAAATTTATCAAAATATACAAACCTTCAACTGATCAAATTCTTGAGCTTGTGATATGATTTTAAAAATTTCACTATCAGTTAAATAAGAACTTCTATCATTGAAGCAGAGCTTCTGGTTGAAACGAAGAATTGTCTCAGTGCTGATATAATAATGGCTAGCTGTTCGTCCCATGTCAGTGATATTTAAAAATCCATTGGCCACATCATATCGAATCATTTGAGCTCTGTACAGTTTCTTTGCTGCATCAATTATTAATTCTTTTCTGTAGTGTTGAAGCCTATGATCTTCCTATTAAAATTAAAATTATTTTATTTATCAAAGAAATTTTACAAAATTACCAACACAAACTATGTTCATAGGCTTCAAATTGAAAAGTAAAGCCAATACAGTAAGCAAATCATTATTCTCATTTCTAAAATAATATTTATATTTTATAATATCAAATCTGCATGCAGACTTCTAAACAAGCAAAAAGAAAATGCAATTCCAAATAAAGTACATATATTTACAGCAAATAGCTTACACATTTCTTATATTATAAGACAGCTTTGGAAAGTTCCCCGGAATTTGTTTATTTTAAAAAGTCAGTTAATTACTACATGTTTCCTTTGAAATATCATATCAGTTGACCACACACTTTTGACAGCATTCACCAAACTGTTGGGAACAGTTCTGGAGTCTATTCTTTAACAAATCAATAAGCTAATTCACTTTCCCAGAGAGCTTATAATCTTTTAATTACTGTTCTGTTAATTCAGTTTTCAAGTGAAGTAATGAGTCCAACAATATTACATAAACAATACAGAACAAAACAGTTCTTGTTGCTGTTACTGAAAAAAATGGCAGGCAAAGAAATAAACAGGATTCTAACAGTATTATATAAACATCATAGAACCAAACAGCTACTGCTACTATTGTGAAAGAAAATGGCATTTTTATTTGTAACAGCAACAGCTGTTTGGATTCTTTAATGCTCATGTGTCTTTGATGCTTTGATTCTTATATTCTCGCTTGAAATCAAAATTGACAGTACAATGATTTCTGTGATGCAGCATCACCATCAAGATTATTCTTTCTATCCCAATTTGATATGTTACTTTCTTCAGTCTCTGCCATCTACTTGCTGCTGATCAGTGCTCCTTTTTTTTTTTTTTTTTTTTTTTTTTTTTAACTTTTCCTGACCATACCATCTAACTTCTTTTCTCTAATCTTATTTTATGACTTTCTTTTAGCTCAGTTTCATTTCTACCTCTTAAGCACCTTTAAGTCAGGGGTCCATGTACTGATGCATTTGATTTTTCTGACAGTTACACAGTGCAAAAATATAAATGTGTGAAACATTATTTAGACCATGAATGTTTTTAATGTGTATCTAGCAGACAATTGCAAGAGAAATAATATTGCTGGGCAACTTCCCAAAAAATTAAGAGTACAATTTATAGAAAACATTAGATTTATCATTGGTATTTGTGGATGTTCCTCAAATGGCATTCTTTATATTAAATCTAAATCCATTATTAACTTCTTTCTTTTATTATACATTTTGTCTTTGTTTCTGCCAATAATTTTCTATTAAAATAGTCTGCACTCTCCTAAAAAATGTATTCCTTTGTTATTAAGCAGAAAGGGATGCAGTCAACGTTAAAATAGGCAATACCTTACCAAAAGCATAAACATTTATATTATGGTCTCAAGCCTACTGAATATTTTGTTTCATCTAATTCTGTGAGTTACAAACTTTGGTATTTCAATCTTTTATTTTCGTGATGAGTTAGTGAAATCTGATAAAAAAATGAAATGATATTTGTTAACATTTTGGAGAATTCAGGAATTAAAACTTTGGTCATTGTTGTTACCTATAAAGAACAGTAATGGCTGTTACTATGTCATCAAAGTTACACTGGTGAATATCTCATCTCTGTCTGCCAGCTAACAAATAAGTAAAAAAAAAAAAAAAAAAATCTTTTGAAGTTGAGGTGACGATTTGCTTACAAGTACTTTAATAATTTTTTTAAAATACAGATATTTTAACTGTAAAGTAATATGGGTACTTCCAAATTTTGTTATGATTCAACTGCTGATGGCCCTCGACTTTTGCACATTCTAATTCCATACAACTCACTGTTTCACACATTTAAAAATATTTTTTTATCACAAAAATTATTTGCTTTCATGCAGTCACTTCTATGGAGTATGAGAGCCTGAAATTGTCTCCTAGAGTAGTGGACTTCTCAGAATCATTGTGATCTCCCTAGAATTTGGTCAAATGTATATAATGTATTAAACAGATTTAGCCTTCCATTAGAACCTGTATCGATAGGTTGGGTATTTTGCCAACTTGTTTGTTTATATTTAAATATTTCACCCTTATAAATTTATAAACATAAATGATAAATGGAGAAACAGCAGTTCTGATATAAGAAATAAAGGACCCATAAACTATGATCAAGACAAAGACAGAAATAATTAGATATTCTGAAAGCAGCAAATATTTTGCTTCAATCAGCCATTGTATGATACGTTCAATATTGAAAATTAAGGAATAAGTCCAAAATTGTGGAAATATATCTCCAAATATTGTTTCCAAATGAAACAGTATAGGGATGGATGAAATGAAAAGATCTTTGTCATCATGGATTGTTGAGCAACCTCAAAACATTGTCACACTAAGTTTTTCAGTTATTTAAACTAAGACTCTTAGTTTGCATGAAGATTGGAAGACTAGATTAAAGGATCTAACTTGGCTTTTAGAGCAAGTAATGTTTGGTTTGATAACTTTAAAATGCAATATTCTTTACATAATATTAAATTGACTGGAAAATCAGCTAATGCAGATAACAAGAGCTATAAAAAATTTATTTTATTATTGTAGAATTTTTTTTTTTTTTTTTTTTTGGTTGAAAAAATGCCTAACCATACATTTTTATTGAAAGGAAGAATCAGTTGCCCTTGGACGTTAGCCTTCTAAAAACTGACCGACACTGCTTCTTGATAAAAACTCAGCTGATGATTTAAAATTGAAGGCAATGCTAGTTTATCGCTAACCAGTGACAAAGTAGTAAAAGCTGCTGCATGCTGGTATGCTGGTAGTTCATTTTGGGTTTTGTGTCTTGGCTAATGGGCTGGCTGCATGAACATTTCTTTGGTTTCCTTCCATGTGTAATTTGGATATGAGCCAATTTCCCTTCAGAAATCCTTCAAGGTACATCCCTCCCTTTCCACGTAGTGCCTAATGGCAGAGCACATAACAAAATAAAATAAAAAAGCATTCATTTATCTAGAAGAAAATCCACAAGCACTGAAAGGGAAAGATAAAGAATTGCTTCTAATCATTTGTAAATCAAATAAAAAATTTTGGGTTACTGCACTGATATTTAACGTTTCATTTAATAGTCGCCAGCAATTAAGCAATATTTTCAAAATAAAAATTTACAACTTAAATCATTATTAATTGTAGACATTGCTCCAGGTCAAAAGAATTTATACCCGAAAATCAATATTGTGTTTCATCCTCTCAATGCTACCTGCCTCACGCAGTAATTTATTCAGTGCAGCAATAACAAATAAATGATATTATATGAAGACAGTAACGAAACCAGCTGTCACGGCAACTGGCAGGAGATTTTTGGAAGAATTATAATACATGAAGTATAATAAACAATGTTGAAGACTCATGGGCTGAAATAAATGAACCCATGATGAGTGATTTTATAAATTCTGAAGAAAATTTGGATACTACTACAAATGAAACAGCCTAATGGATGAAATAAATTTGGAGATCAACAATGAAGATATTAATGAATTGATTGAATCTCATTCCGTGCCTCTGCAAAATGAATACTTAATTGAGCACCAATGCTGAATGAAATACACAATGAAGGAGAGGAAGAAGAAACTCATAAAATTATCAAAACTTTCACAATCCAAAAATATGAATGAAGCCTTCATGCATGTTGACAAATGTTTGACTATCATGGAAGAATGTGATCCTAATTAAAAACATATAACTCAAGTAGATAAGGCAATTGAGAAAGATAGTCTGCTTTGAAACTCTTTATCAGAGGGGAAAAAAATGTGGTATTCAGCTAACTCCTAACAAATAAAAAAAAAAAAAAAATTAAAAGTGCTTAAACTGCCTTATTAACTTAATCATGTGTACTGATAAAAAAGTATTTTAAAATATAGTTTCTAACATTTTTACATCACTCTACTTTCAAACATTTGTTCCCATTTTCAGATATCAATTATATGCAAAAGTTGAGTATTCCCAATGTTTCACACACAGAAAACAATTACCCCCCCCCCCCCCAAAAAAAAACTTTGAATTTACAGTCCGTCCCAATTGCCCACCACGTCCATAAAATTCTTCATGTGACCTTTATTTTTTGGCAATCATTGGTTAGTGACATATACTTCCATTTACAAAAGTGCTTTAAATAAGAAAAATATTCACGTAATGGCATTTTTAAATTCAAAAAGTCAATTTGATAAAAATGACAAATTTTTAGTTTTTATATGGTCTCTATTTATAAAAGTTTGACCAGCATATTTTAAAGTTTGAGATCATTTTCAAGGATTGTACACAAATTGAAGAAATAAATATACAAATTTGTATGAAATAAAAAATTAAACATCAGTTTAGAAAAAGATTACTGATGTCTTCAAATTAAGTGATAAGACAGACTGTCATCAAACATTTTGAACAAATTATTTAAAAAGGGACATCTTATTAATCTTAGAATATTATAGGCTTTATGTTTCAGAGAACATTGCAGGCTTCAACATTGGTGCATAACGAAATCAGAACATTATTTAGATAAATTAAAAGTAAAAAATACTTCTGGTTCAATGAATTTTGTATGATTAATAAATTACGATTCTAAAGTAATGGAAATGCATGAGAATATTAATAACATACTTTTGGCAATTCAAAAACTATAAATCATTTGTATAAAATGGGGGGGGGCGCAATGATTTGGAAGTTGATCTGTCAGCACTATCCTTATCTTCAGGGCAGATGTTTTTATTTTACTTGGCTTATAATTCCTTACTAAATGTAGTATTTCATCTCGATGTACTCCGTCTTTGATATGATTTAAATCATATTCCTGGTCATTATAATTCGCTTCAGATAGTGAAGAAAGTGACACAGAGGTTATTGAAAACGAAAAAATTGTGATTGACAAATTAGTCGGTATTCTCGACACAGGAATTATAGGACTTGAACAGCGGAACTTTGTAACTGAACAAGAAATTATGTCTGTCTATAGAATTAAAGAGAAAGTATTATCACATAA